CCCCCCCCCCCTGCTCCCCGCCCCCGCTCTCTTCCTCCTCCTTGCTTCCGTACTCTATTCATTGCCTTGTATTGAGCTCGAATCCCGTCGTCATGATGTGTACAGCTAGCAGTGCATGAAACAACACAATACCTGATGACTCCCTCCTCAAACTCATCCTTGTCCAGGTTCCTGAGGCCGATAACGAATGTCTCGTCGAATACACAGCTGAGACACGCCGCCTTCACCTCGGTCGCGTACTTCTGACCGAACGCCTCCACGTACACCACGGGGTCCGACGTGCCCTGAAAAATTGTCATTGTTGTCGTGATCGTTGTCGTTGTTATGTGTTCTTCTGGTTCGTACCGTTGGTGGTGTCGTTGCTGCGGATGCTACTGTTGCACTCTCCAATCACCCTCAGGCACTTCTTCTCCGAGCCTTGACCCACCCTCCACCCGCCGCAGCCGTTTTGCAACGGTCACGTCTCCCGTTTTGGACACCCTATTCGCCAGTTTGCTACAACAATGATGCTTCTGTTGTTGCTGCTGCTGATACAGATTTGGTACATTTGGTGTTAGGTGGGTTCATCAGTTTTGTCCTGTTCCTTTTTTGACACATCTTTGTTTCTGCTCTACGTTTTCAGAAATTCGTGCGATGTTTACATAGCTCGTCTTGGCTGATAAGTGTGCTCTTGCCTCACCTGCAAGTCCTCGGCCTTCAGGTCTCTCGCCTCTATGATGTGAACGTAGATCGTGTAGTCGCCGGACTTGACCTGCACCGCAATCACGGGCATACCACACACGACGTCATCCGTACCTCCAACGTGACACCATGACGCGCAGTGTACCGGGACAAGTCAGGTCAAGCTCCCGCATGAGCAGGGCGGCGTAGCGCGCCTACAATACGGTCAATAAACCATCCTGTCACGCTGGTCTGCCCCCGGCACCAAAGAAAGCACGCCCAACAACACAGGACCGACCCCCAGCAAGACGGCGCGCTGCCATCGCTGACCACTGACTGCGTGTCCGCCCGACATCCCCCTACCCTATCCTACCCTACTCTACTCTACCGTGCCGTACCTCGATGTCCATGAGCTCCTCCTGAATGGCCTTCTTCTCGGCCTCGCGCGCCTGCTCCGCCTTCTCCCGCATCTTGGCCTTCACCTTCGACTTGGACTTTTTGCGGGTCAGCGGCTCGTTCTCTTCGTCCTCCGCCGTGTCCGAGGAGTGGTCATGAAAACCTTTAATATACGTATTGTGTGTGTATTTATCATCATTTTTTTCATGTTTTTTGCAACAAGAGAGTAAAACGACAAGAGACGTGCACGTGATAGAAAAGAGGGAGAACGCGCGCGGAGAGGAGGGGCTGTACAAAACGCAAAAATAGGTGACAGCAGCGAAAATCATTTCCCGGGCGACAAGACTCGGGCGACCGTCAGGTTTCATTGCTCAGGCGGTATGATCTATACTGATACTGTACGGCACGGGCGGGAGGGGGGTGACATCTTCTGCCGTCGGTACGTCGAGGACGCGACCTGGGGTTATGTACGTCAGACTACAGATGTCGTGTTGCGAGAGAGCGGAACACTACACTATGTAATGAATCGATCCCTATAAGTGGCGTGCTCACGGGAGAGGTGTGTGGGATATAGCAATGACTGTTGTCGCTTACTAGTCCTCCCGCCACAGAAGGAAAGACACAAGGAAGGGAGGAAAGACGTGAAAGGACATTCGATGGAAAACAATTGAAGACAAAGGCAGCAGTGAGGAAGGTAAAGGAAGTAAAGGAGGGCAGATATAACAAAGAAGGAAAAAAAATGAGGGGGAAATCATGACAAGGTGAAGGCAAAACAAGCAGGAACAAGGAACAAAAAAAAGAGGAAAAAGGTCAAGAAAAAGAAAAAGAATGGCAAGACGAATTGACGAGTCTCCATACCCCTGCGGCGGAAATGAAAACTACCCCCGCCCTCCCACGGCCTCCCATCCACCCAAACACCTTCTTCACCCCCGTTGAAACTCACCTAGGGTGCGCTGCACGATCTCCAGCAGCGACAGCTTCCGGGTGGCGATGTCCTTCGCACGTGGGTCGTGGAACCACTGCACCGACAGTTCGATCTCTCCCAGGGGGTTCTCCTCGTCGTACAGCTCGTCCTCCCCCAGCAGACGGTACCACCTCGTAACCTGCCGCGTTTGTCAGCGTGTGGGTCAGTCAGTCATTAATCTAGTGCCATACACGTTAGGGGTGCTACATATATGTCGTGGAGGCTACTGGGGTACAGAACTGGTCGGAGCAAAGATCTAGCAACACACGTTAGGGGCGAGTTAGGCGTGCCAAAACTAGGTCGTAAAGGCTATTTCGGATGAGGCTTGCGCAAGCGTGCTCACCCGTCGCTTGTGCAGCAAGTCCTCGAGCTTGATGACGAACGCTCCCATCGCCTCGTCGACCACGACGTCGGCATCCAGCACCTCCACCTCCAGCCTGCGCGTGAAGTCCTTGACCGCGAACTCGAACACCTCGTCCCACTCGGGGGCCAGGTTCTTTTCCACCGTCGTGGTCCTACAAGAGCAGCAGCAGCAGCCGTAGAAAGAGAGAGATAGAGAGAAAGAGAAAGGGACAGAGCAGGGGCGGGGAACGGGGGGTGGTCTCGTCTGGTATCGTTATCATCTCCAGCCTTTCGTCCACTCGATTAAACCGATCCCATACATGGAGAGGTTCAGTTTTCTAGTCGAGGAGAACGCCAAGCGGTCCACCCGAAGGTCTACGTATTACTTGTTCCGAAATGTCGCACCGTAAAGGGAGGGGGGGGGGAGGGGGGGTATTGGCACACTACGCGCTGTAAGACCACGCAGGTGTGTCAATATCTTACGGAGACACACGCGTGACCTTTTCAGCTCCGCTCATCAGCTCAGCATCTTCGCCGACATCGAGAAAACGACCAACCTCTGATACTGCTGGTGGACGTCACAAAGATTTTTGTGATATGCCCTCGAACTATCAAGAGCAGAGGTTGACGTACGGAGACCAAGGGAAGAAAGAGGTCGTGCCGTACGTTTTCGATTGACTCACGAGACCTTAACTCAAGATTACTTCTGCGGACAAAATTTGCTGGACAATCGTGAAAAACACCCCCGCGTGACCGCTTTCAACACGCGCTCCGTTCTGCCCTCCTCCCCCCCCCTTCTCTCTTGACAACTTCCCCAACGATTGGCCATCGGTGACCGCTCCTGTGGGAACAAAGTTTCTTTTTCTCTAGGACGTGGTCAATTGTCTAACAACTAAGGCATGCCAAACAAGAGTACCCCCCCCCGTCTCTCACACACTCATCGACCCCTACCCCCCAACCACGGCGACTCTCCTCACCGGTGCTCCACGCCGTCACACGTGAGCTTCACGAAAGGGTCGCTGCTGGCCTCGCCCATGAGGTCCACGTCCAATCCTCTCAGCCCCTTGCCGCGCCGCACCTTCACAACCAGAAGGTTGGGGTCGGACTCGGCAAACTCCTCGTTCTCGTCCCCGGGCCCATCCTCGATGCCGACTACGTACCCTTCCCCCTCTCCCTCCGGACCGGCTGCGCCGGCGTAGAAGATCCGATTGGCCTCTTCCTCGTCCAGGCGCACGCTGACCCGTAGGCTGAAAGGAAACGGTTCGTTTCGACACGTTGACATTTTTATCGCAACCAAAAGGAAGGGGCCAGGGGAGGTGGGGAGAGGAGGGAACAGCTCGTATGACCGCTGCCTTGGGATGAACGCACCGACCACAAACAACCAGGCACCGGACACAGCAAAGAACATAGAAACGCGCACATAAACATGCAATGGACGTAGGCACGACACAAGGGTACCGCCATTCCTCCCGGCATGCATACACCCACACACGGAACGCCCCTCCTACATTGCTCCGTAACCACACCAACACGACAAACACGACACACCTGCCGCAAGCCATGTCCACGTCCATGTCAGTCGCCGGCTCCAGCGCCTGCCAGCTCTCCACGGAGCTCCCATCCCTCGGGAGCGACGCCAGGTCCAACAGCGCCACCCCGAGGGGCTTGTCCTTCGACAGCACCTCTCGCCCCCACAGTGACAGCCGGAGCACCGGGAGCGCGCCCACGTTGCGCAGGTCGTGCTTGCGCCCGAGGGTCAGCGAGACGCCCCGGCTCGACGGTGCGCCATCTTCGTCGCGCTTGGTCTCTCCGCTGCCCAACGCCCCTCTCACGGGACTTTGGCCGCCGCCGCCGTGGCCGCGGCTGTTGCTGCTTGGGCTTGGGCTCTCCTCGCCCCAGACAAGCTTGGAACCAGGTGTGACCGTCTGTTACACAAGAGAGAAATAAAAGTGCACGAAAATATTGGATGGGGGGGGCATGAAGAACTTGAGAGGGTTGTTTTCTCCGCAGGTAGACTAGTATCCACATGCAGGAACGTGCTGCAAGTTTTGACTTTCAGGACTTGACCAGCTCTACTCTTCCACCCCTAAAGACAGAACCCTCTCTCCTGCTGCAAGCAAGCTGTAGTACCAAACCACCTGTATACGGCATCGGATTCTGCTGCGTTCGCGGGCGCACCTTCGTCTTGACTCGCTCCTTCTTGATGGGCCGCCCCGTGATGTCGAGCAGCTCGGCGCAGGCGTAGGGCTCCTTGTGAGGCGCCACCCCGACCCCCTCGAATATCGTCACGTGCAGCAGGCGCACCATGATGCCGCCCTTCCTCCTCCCTCGCCCGCCCTCTCCAGCTCGTCAACACCGCCCCCCGAGTTATCTTCCTTGTCTTCTCTCCCGGGAGCGGCTCCACTTCTCGTCCCCTCTCGCCTGCACCTACTCCCTGGCAGGGGAGCGACAGAAGGAATGCCCAGCCCCCCCCCCAAAGGGAATGGTTCCTACACGAGTAGGGGGGTGGGGGTAGGGTAAGCGGCGTACGTAGCGTGACGCTAAAACTATACGCATGCACCTCGCGGCCATTTGTATGGAATGTGCATAGGAGAGCCTGAAAGCACCCGATGTGTTGGCACTGAGCCCAAACGTTACAAGACCAGCAGTCGAAGTGCGAGGCGGGGATGTGCCGCTCTCTGCGCCAAGCCGTCTCTACAACAACACTTTGAATGGCGCCCGTTTAATCTGCTGTGCTACAACTTAGACCTCTTTCTACTTGCTGGGGATGTTTTCGCTGTTTGATGCGGCGGTTTCTTCCAGAAGACAATCTCTCTACGAACAACCAGGCAGTTGACTTGAGGGTGGTGTGCTAAGCCCTAACAAACAACCTTCCCTCTAACTTTTGGGATGTGGGTTCGAATCTCGGCGGCGCAGTTCAGACGACCTGGGATTTTGGATTTTCCTCGTATGCATGCAGCATGCCCGAAAAACGTCGAAAACGATGAATTCGCGTGTAGCCTACATAGCAACAATTTTTCACTGCCAACGAGGGAAAGGAACAGCTACTCCTTGTCGTGAAAAAATACAAAAGTAAGGTAAGCACCGCAGCAGGGAGGTGGAGAATAAAATCAAATCACTTGACAAGTCTTTCTGTAATTCCAAAAAAGTCTTGTTGCCTTCCTTCTAATTGTGTGATCGCAGACGATGAGTCCAGATATATACCCAAAAAGGCTTGTGCTGACTGCTGACGCCCATAACATACGGGAGGACGCCTTACAACACACACATCAACACGACCACCTCGATAGTTTGAAAAGACGTGAAAACGGAAGACACAGCAGTAGTATCCAGCTTAGCATGCATGCGGTACAAGTGTATGGGACCTCTTCGTGGGTATTCGAAGTTACGTCTCTCCTAGATATACAATCGGGCTTCGGCATAGTCTTAACATGGTATTTTTTTTTTCTCCAATTAGTGGACTCTGTCGTCTGCCCCTCTGGTCCCCATCCTCCACTTCTACCAGCTAGACGACCCAACCGCGATCGCATAGGAAGGGGGGGCTGGACCCCCTCCTGCGGTTCCTACCTGAGATATTCTTATCACGAGAAGGGTACAGCAATCCCTTCCCTCGCGACTTATGAAGTCGATCAAGTTTACCAACAACGATATGCACCTTGTTGAAGAGGGGGCTCGGACACGAGAGGGTCGAAGTTGTTTGTCACGGACCCGAACCGCGACCTTCTTATTCCGACGTGAGAGAATGGATACAATAGATAGTCTTTCTGTGTTTGTATTTATGTTTCCGAACAAGAGGGGGCTCTGACGTACAAGAGCGTCGAGAGCCTTTGCAACACCACCCTCTCATATCGTAGCCACGACTGCATCTGGGGGATCAGATTTTGATGTCCTAAGGACTAACGCAAGACGAGGACGCCGGCTAGCCGGCTGAGTCCGGAGCCTTGCACACAATGTATGCATACGTTACACTTGAAGCAGTGGCATCAGGTTCCGTAGTGATCCAAGATCGAGATGGATTCGTACCCCCACTAGTGATGACGTACCATTACAATGTATTGATGGTTGGTGGCCATGTTTGCGAGTTTGCTGTCGTTAGTGGTCTCTCCACCGTGTGCCTTTTTCTGTCTCTTATTTCTTGGTATTTTCCGCCTGGTCGCTTTATGTCCTCGCTCGTTTTCTTTCATTTTCTCCTTCCTTAATGTTTCCAATTATTTTCTTCTCTTTTTCTCTCTTTTCTGTGCCAGATGGCCTTGTCTCTGCTTGCGTTGTGAAGTACCAAGTTTGAACCAAGCGGATGTACCTCGTTCTCTCCGGCCCGTGATGGTGACTCCTAGTCTCGGTTGTTACCTCGCATAGCGCGCAGAGGGAGTGGAGGACTCCAGAATATCTGTCGTTGATTTCTATTGACTTGCGGACCCCTAGGGGCCAATTTATTTGAGTGTACCTTTTGAGGGTAAGTTAGGCTGCCACCACGGGAATCGACCGCGTCGAGTGTTGAATCAGTACGGATATACGGAGGTAGTGGGTAGAGAAGAGATCGGAACGGTTTTTGATGTGACGACAACAACAACAACAACTGATGACCTAAAAGAAAAATTTCATAGCCTGGTTTGGTGTGTTGTTGTTTGTGTAATGGTTTTGGAGTAAGACAAAGNTTACAGTGCCGTGTGACTCGCTTCGCTCGAAGGCAATTGGCGAGGTTTCGGGCGCGGTGCAGTGTGCGGTCACAGTGTTGTGTGACTCGCTTCGCTCGAAGGCACTTAACGGGGTTCCGAGCGTCGTGCAGTGTGCATCACAGGAGTGCCGTGTTGCTCGCATGTACTCCAAGGCAGTTTGTCCGCAGCAGCGTCATGTTCCCCCTTTCGAGGAGTTCCTTATTATGTGCTTCGTCACACACCGGTGTGCCTCTCCTCTCCTTCTATT